GGTTTACTTGCTAAAACAATTGCCAAATATTATAATTAGCCAACCCTATGCAAGAAGATGATGGCTGTAGTTAAAAATAAATTTTTCCAATAAATTACAGTGTGATCAAAAAACTTACCGTCGGAACACTCGCATTTGATCCAAACGATTTTCCAATTTTTTATGGCGGGGATTGAGACGCCAGGTTAACTTCAGCTGCTCGTCGCGCTTCTTCTTGGACAGTTCACGCATCAACGTCGCTAATTTATCATATTCATCGTTCCAAGTTGAGAAAACCGCAAAACATTGTGTCATTAAATTATCAAAATCGGCCATTGGAATGTTCATCAACCTGCGTGTACCAAGAACCTGCAAATCAGCGGTTTTTTTTTAAAAAAAGTGACGCAACAACAATAATGTTAATGATGATGATAATGATGACGGCGATGATGACAATGATAATAATAATGACAATGATGATGATAATGATGACGATGATGATAATGATAATAACAGCAATAATAATGATAATAAAAATAAAATGATAGTAAAATGCTAATAAGAGCAACAATAACAATAGGAACAATAACTGATGCTTTCTCTGCTCTAGTATCATAATCAAGTCAAATAAATGGCAACGCGCACCAGACTAGCCGGTGCGATCATGCGTTTTGTGCAAATCAGCCCATCAAACGATTGCCTGTTAATGATTTTCACTTCCTTGTACTTTAGTCTATGCAAAAATAACCCATCGAACGATTGCCTATTAATGATTTTCACTGCTTTGTACTTTAGTCTATGCAAAAATAGTTCTAACATTGAAAAACAGTTAAAAATTTCACGCACCAGCGTATGAAAGCTGATTTCGAAACCTTGAAGGAGTATAAAGAAGACCAGACAAAAATTTCACGCACCAGCGTATGAAAACTGAATTCGAAACCTTGAAGGATGAATATCTTTTCGTGAGAATTTCACGCACCAGCGTATGAAAGCTGAATTCGAAACCTTGAAGGATGAATATCTTTCCGTGATTCAGTTTATCTGTCAAAATTTTCAGGAGGCCGTAGGTGGTAACCGAGAGCGCGAGAACGCTGAATTTGAATTGGCAAGGTTGAGCGTGGGC